GTTTTTTTGCATCAAAACTAATATATAAACCTCCAAGCTTCTTGATATTCAAACCAGGGTCTATGCTGCTGGAAAGATGTAAACTAAAAGAGAAATAGTTACTGATTAGAATATTGTAACAAGCACGCAGCTAAACCTTCTACTGTCCTCTGAGAAAGATAAACAGAAAAAATATTTTTCTTATTCTTCCCACTTAGGTTCAGTTCTGCAATGATTTTAAGTCTCAGTATCTAGAAGAAATACATAATTTAGAGGTGACAGAAGATGAGGGGGAAAAAAAAAATCATGCCATTAGATGAAGTGAGAGTTTATTAAAGAACAATACCTGTGGAATTACTTCCACAAATCTTTCATATTAACTCTAGTGCAGTATTTTTATCTTGGATATTACTATCTTCTATAAAATCGAGTTCTTAATTTGTTTAACCTTGCCAAAAGAACTCATGACCAGCATCCTCCTTCTATACATTGAGAAGCTCGCTAGCTAAAGAGAAAAAAACCCCACAAAAACACAAACATATGGGCGGTAAAAATATTGTCAACTCTTATTCATAGTAGGAATGTTTAAGTCCTTGTCTGTATAATGGTCATAGGAATAACGTTATTAAACATTTCAAAGCTAGTATATTTCACATTTTTTCCATTACTTCATTCAGGCAGCCAAAGGAATGTATCTGCAAACAATGTACGATGGCTGCGGCTGATTCAAAAGGAGGTTTTTGATGACAAGAATGCTTAAAAGCTATAAAGTATCATGGAGAAATGTGGTAATATCTAAAGAGGTACAACAGATACTTATTGTAGCTTGAATGCTTTTTAATACAAGCCCTTTACAACTTTCTATTAAACTGTGACTGATGTTCTGTAATGCCTTTACACTGAATGCTTGGCTAAGCTTTTGTAAGACTTCTGGCCTACCTGAAGGTTTTTAGAAGATTAAGACTTATTTATCCAACCTAAACAGCATATTACGCTTTAAACATATGAAAGCAGATAAAGGGATTTTAGCAGGAGTTGGACTACAAGAGCTCAAGAGGTCCCATCCAACCTAAATTATTCTATGCTGGGCTGATTTCACTTGAAGTGTCGCTGTCTCACAGCACAACAAGAACTGAAAACATAAAAGTATATGCGACTGTTTAGGATTAAAAAGCATGATCTAATTAGGCAATGTGTAAGGAATTTACTGGACTTTTTGTTATTTATATCCAAACTAAAAAATCAACCATTAAGAAAACTGTGACCTGAATAAGCAATTAAGTCAGCCTGACCAGTTTAACCCAGTTTCACATTTTGTCTTCTAAGCCGAACACATACAAGGCCTCCAGATGCCTAAATATTTCAGTGTTCTGTTCTGCTACATACAAAGCTGAAAATAACCCAAACCCTGAATTTATGGACTATACTTGTATTTTATAATCTGTGCAACCCCACTTTCCACGTCAATATGACTAATGCGATGAGACTAATCCCTCATTTATAGAATCATAGAATCATTAAGGTTGGAAAAGACCTCTAAGATCATCGAGTCCAACCGTCGACCCAACACCACCATGCCCACTAAACCATGTCCCTCAGCGCCTCATCTACACGTCTTTTAAATACCTCCAGGGATGGGGACTCAACCACTTCCCTGGGCAGCCTGGTCCAATGTTTAACCACTCTTTCAGTAAAGAAATTTTTCCTCACGTCCAAATCATTTAGCGTTTAGTGTACATACCCTATGCATATGCTTGAATGAAATGCAGATTCTTTAGTTATTCCCAAAAAGATACTTACACATCAATCTTATTTTTCAACAAATCATCATCTTCATCTTTCTCATCTTCATCTATCAATTCCTCTTCAGCCTCTTCCAGATCTGAGGATTCTTCACCTTTTTCACTTCCTTCATGCTTACTTTCAGCATCGTTATCTTGGTCTACCTGATCTAGATAATACTTTTGGCTGGAACTCATGCCAGGCTCAGTATCAATTACAAAAAGCCCTTCAGCATGCAGTGGACTGTTTTTTAAAGATCTGTTGAGGGAAGGAGTCCTCTTATCTGCCTCTTCATAACACAGATTCTCTTCAACTGTATCTATGTCCGCCACATCGCTATTTTCAGATTCATCACTTCCATCTTTGCTCAGAAATAATGCAACACAATCATTTCCACTGCTTGATCTTTCACTGCTGTGGGATACAGATTCAGCATATTCTCCTGTTTGGTCTTCACCACCGTCCACACTGATTTCAAGCATCCCGCATCTACCAACGCTATCAGTTCTTTGTGCAACAGCTATGTCTTTTTGTGGGCTGCTCGATGCACTAGCTTGCTCACCCTTTCTTAATTTATCAGCATGGGTGAAAGACTGCTGTGCATCTGCCTCAGCATCTGCTCTTTTGCATTCCGGAATTTTTTTACTTTCATTTGGTTTCATTTGCCCTTGGGATTCTAAAAATTGTTTGGGACTCATGCAATCAGTCAAAGAAAGATCCATATGCTCTAATTTCCCCTCCCTCACAAGTATTTTACTGTGTTGTTCTTGTATTTGGCCACATGCTTCCTCTAAATCATCTACCCCAACGGACTGCGTATTTTTTATTGCTTTTTCCCCTGGAGATTCAGTATCACTTAGTTTCATTTTTGTAAGACTGCTGGGTGTCACATCATTCAAAACCTCTTCTTTGACGTCTTCACTCCAGGTTGTATTGGCAGATTTGGAAGAACATTTGCTTTTAGGTGAACTGGGTTCTTTATTATCCTCAGTGACAGAGGAAGCATCTTCTGTGGCAGAGACAAGTTCTGCAGCAGGTCTAGAATCAGAAATTATTACTGGCTCAGATTTAACAGTGTCCTCAATTAAATTCTCATCTTCTGAAACAATTCTGTTTCCTTTCTCGGTCTGCTTAGTATTTTCTGCTTGTGATTTCATTTGCATGCTTCTAGTAATTCGTTTGGTAGCGACGGATGGTTCCATATGAGAACTTAAGCAGCATGACTCTGCATCAGAAATATCTTCACTCTGGGCTTCATGAACTGTATCTGGCCGCAATTTCTTTTTGCTTTGCCTGCTTCTTGTAGTTCTGGTAACATCAGGCATCTGGACACGAGAAACAGCAGAGGAACAAGACTCGGCTTCAGAGATGTCATCTTCATCCAGCATCCTGCTTAACTTATTTAGAAAAACTGCCTTGTCACGTCTTTTTTTGTCAGGAGAAGCCGGTTGATGAGGAACTACAATTTGTCGTCGTCTTGTTACTCTTACAAACAAAGGTGTCTGAAGACCAGACACAGCAGAGCAGTTTGATTCTGTTTCTGACACATCCCCATCAGCTTGTGGTTCAGCAACTGACTGCGCTGAATGAACAGTTGTGTTCTCATTTCTAGTAATTTGCATCTCTAAGCTATCACTGACATCTGACACTGTTTCTGCATGTCCCACCTCTTCAGACTGAGACTCCTGAATTATCTCTGGCTTACGAATTGATTTAGTTCTTCTTCTAGTCATCCTCATAGGCGCAGGAGTACTAATTTCAGCAGATGCCATCTAGAAAAGGAGTAAAGAAAAGCATGCTATTGACAGCTAAAATAACCCCATGAAAAGGATGCTATACAAATGGCTAACAATCTTTTTAAACAAAACTACTCAAGCTGACAACATATTACGTGTCTCTGCGTAGCCCTATCTATGTGGAAAAAGTGTTAGCAAACCATCCCTTGCTTATCTGTTTTGTTTACTGTCTTTTGGTCAAGGCAGGAAAAGAAACACACACATCCATTAAGAAATATAAACAAGTATCTTCTAATTCTAAAAAGTTCTGGCAAGCTGTCATGGAAAGCAAATCCAGAAGTGATGTTCAGAAACATTCAAAGATTTGCTCAACTAAGTTTGCTCAGCAACTGGCAGAATGTGCCCCCAAATGGCTTCCATAACCAATTTTAGCAGTTTTAGGCACAGACTGGCCTCACAGCAACTGCAACCCTAGGTACAATCTGCTGCTTTAACGATGCTTGTGAATTACCTGGAACGCAATTCAAGGTTTTGGAAAGAAGAAACACTCCGCAACAGCAGGATCTTCCCAAGACACTGAACAATGCTGGATCAACGTAAACCATGCTACCTAAACGATCAGCATTTACGCGAGCGTTTGCACGTCTAGCGGAAAAGCCACAGAGAAACGCTAAGATAACTGCAGTGCAAAGGAAACAAAAAATAACACCCTAACCTTTAA